TATTTCCAACTCGCTTCTTGGTCACGAACAAGCGTAAAAGAGGGTCACATACTAACTTATTTGTTATTAAGTGTGGTCTCTTTTGTTTCATCTATCTTTCTCAATCGTCTTACTAGTAACGACTAGTCAGACGATTGAGAAAAATAGATGAAGGAAAAGAGACTGTCCCTAACAACAAATAAGTTACTATATGGCCATTTTTTATGCATGCTCCTGGCCAACAAGTGAATTAAGACTATGACTCATTAGCTTTCGTATACAATAAATAACGGGGATAAAATTACTCATATTGTTAATGAAAGAAAAAAAACATCAAGAAGTTGGATATGCATGACTAAGCACTATAATGACGATAAAAGGGATTTCTTCTTCTTGCTCACCGGTATTTTACCTGTTCTCGTATTTTTCCTAACGACCATTGTATATAATAAGGATGTGATTCTGATGATTCTTTATACTTGTTTATTTGTCTCTTATATTTATTTTCATTTTGATAATACACTCAGTTATGATGAAAGTGACTGTTATGATTTTTACCATTGTTATGGCAATATTTTTAATTAATATTATTAATGGTAATCCAGTGAAACGCGTAAGTAGTCAAATATAAATAAAAACATACTTCTTATAATATATATATTTAGTATTCTAATCATTTATTCAAATCAAGACTTGCATCTTTATTGGAAGAAAAACGACATGCATCATTCGATGATTTTCTAGAAGTAATGGAACCCAAAGCATCAAAACAAAAAGTATATTTTCGCGATGAAGATGAAAGAGATGAAAATGATTATCTACAAAGAAGTAACAATTTTTGAATTGATCAAACTAGAAAAAAAAAACTTTTTTTTTACTTAGATGTTCGTAAGGTGATTGGTTTAGCTGATAATCCATTTTAGAAGATTATTGTTGTTACAATTTATATCTGTATATTACAATGTTCAGTGTTGGTATTGGGATCACTTTACAAGAAAAGAGAAACTTTTTATTTTTCTTCCAATTCTATTTGGACATAAATATTGTAACTTTTTTGTTTATATAAATATGTATGCTTTCATTGATGAATTTTGATGTCATGCTGTTATAGTTTTCATTTTGTATTGAGTCAGGAAGCATGGATTTTAATTTTATGTTAAAGGTATTATGTCAATTTAAGCTATTAATAAAGTAAATTCCAGTCTTTCATAACAAGATCAATAGTCTCACAACTTTTGACAACAGATTTTGTTAGAATCAAAATCTATGATTAGAAGGTTTGATAAATAGCTAATAGAAATAATGTTCCATTCATATTGATGAATGATCTGTTGCATTGTTTCACTAAAAAACAAGATCTCTGTGAAAAAAAAAAAACATACCATCAACGATTGGATTAATTTCAGTTCAGTTAAACGAGCTGATTCTTTTTTGTTGTTGACGTTTTTATAGAGGCATTTAAAGTTTGTTCTTCTATAGAGTTTATATAAAGAGATACTCTGTTGAAGTATCATTATGAATTTCGCTAAAAAAATGGTTGGCAGTAAAAATGTTGAAAGGAAAAATATTGAAAGGAAAAATGTCCAAAGGGAAAAATGTGGAAAAAATAATATCGACAGGAAAATGGTTGATAAATATTTTGAAGAGTTGTGAATAGTGAAGAATATGTTTCATAATATTAGTTAATGTTAATATTATAATAGTGACCAAATATAAATAATGAAAAAAATTGATTTATCAGTTTTTCTGCTTAGCAAGTATAAGTTGTTGTTTTATTCAGTTTGAAAACATAGTTATCTGCTACGAGTAAAGATTTTCCATTATTTGAATTTATAAGTGAAATAGCTGGAGATACTGATCGGATTACATCAGTTGAAGATGTAGCAGTTTCAGTCATGACAATAGAATTTTAGTTATATAATAGTTCTTCGTCTAACTCTCTTATTTAATTTTTATCAGGTATTAGTCAGCAAAATCACGATTGGCTAAACTTCTATGCTAGTAGAATTGTAAAACAACAATGAGCTAGACGTAATTAGAGTCACTATTTATTGGAGACATCATCTTTTTCGATATTTTTCTGTTACAATATTCTTCTACTTCCATATTTACTTTTCGACATTTTTCCCTTTCTACATTTTTTCTTTCGACATTTTTTCTTTTCGACATTTTTCCCTTTCGATATTTTCTCATTTCGACATTTTTCCCCTTCGATATTTTTCCCCTATTTTTTTCGACATTTTTCCCCGTCGATATTTTTTCCCTTTTTTTTTCGACATTTTTCCTTTCGATATTTTCCCAGCACACCGAACCTTCACTCCAACGTCCACTTAATATTTGGGAAGATTATCAATTCGATCAACCAACTAAAACGATATTTGGTCAGGGAGGATTTGGACAATCTGTTCGGGATCTGAAAGAAACTCAACGTCGAGATCATTGTTCGAAGTGTCAGTGTCTGGGAGAAATCAAATGTCTAAAATGCTCAGATTTTGCTACTGTTGATTGCGACATATATCATCAAAAAGGATCAGTTGAGTGTTGTCAATATCAGAGCTGTTCGAAGTGCAAGGGTAGAGGCTTTTATATGTGTACCACATGTTTGGAAAAGTTAATAATTAATTGTTCACAATATCTCACTCATGGCTGTGTTTTGTGTATTGATTGCAAAGGTCTTCGTTTTATTCTCATTTGAAAACAATTACATATCAAATGGAGCAATCATGAATCAGTCGTTACCCGAGATCTTGGCAACAGCAGTGTTCTTTTCACTTCACAAATAGAGAAGTCATCGGACGAAGTTACTTGTCTCGAATTCAACGATTCTCGGTCCTCGGCAAAATCGATTCACAGCGTACTTAACAATTGTGTCGGATTGTCTAGTGATTTGCAGGCCAACATTCACAAGAAATATTAGAAGGAACACTGCGATCAGGCAGAAAAAATAATTCGACTACGTTATATTATTCAACGTCTTCACATAAAAAAGATCGATTATACATTCAACTTCAAATCAGGCAAGATGATATCTTAGAACAATTCTTCATATCATTTGACTTAATTTGTTATGTAGCTGAAGCATTTATATTTTGCCTCTATGGTGAAGGAGAAACTCATGTTTATGATAATCAATATCCATACAAATACTGTGGTCGATCTTCTTGCACTCTTACAGAGAAATATGGGTGTGGGCCGTTGACAACGCCACTCATCGACATCTACTGTCAAGAATTCACTACCTTATTTCAACAGATTTATCAGGGATGAAATAAAGCTATTACTTATTCTTTTTTTTCTATCACTGATACGTGCCTTTTTACGGGAGAAAATGCTGTATTTTCATTCAAGTGTGATGAAACACAACGAAAAAGATAACTAATGAGTGAATGCAGAGATGATAATTCAAGTCCGACTTGATTTGAACTTTAGGAACTTCTGGCTTGAGATTGAGGATGAGTGTGTAAGATACTCATCCTTATTATCATCTTACTTTCACTCTTTTTTCATTCTCTTAGATCCAAAATATCCTTTGTGATTTTTAGAAACACGATCTAGAAGAGAGTGTTGAAGTGTATAGGAATAGAAATTTCACTCACTACCTCCTTCTCCTCCCCCCCTCGCCGTCCACTGTGGGCAGAAAAAAGTGATCGGGAGCCATTTCTAGTTGCCAAACCACTTTTGAATCGAGACTATATGCATTATGTAGTCTTTAATGAGCTATGAACATCCTAAAAAGAGTTCGTACTTATAGCTTATTTCTATCGAGATATTTAATTTTTATGGCATTTTTAGGAAAAAGTCGTGGTCTCCCTCAGGTTCGCCTGAAAAATCAATTTTCAAATTTCGACTTGAAACTTTTCCCAGAGAAAGGTCTCAATGAGCCTTGTTTATTCTGCAAGTTTTGGATTTTTGGGTTACTTCTATCCTGAGATACGAATGTAAGAAAAAGTACTCTTTTTTCACATCAGTTATAGCACCAAAATGTTAAGTGTTCATATTTAAGGATGGAAGCAATCAAGAAATTTGAAACTTTCAGGATTAATTGGTCTCATTGAGACCTTTCTCTGTGCAAATTTCCAGATCGAAATTTGAAAGTTGATTTTTCAAGTGAACCTAAGAGGGACCACAGCGTTGTGTCACAAGATGCCGTAAAAAATCCAATATCTCAACAAGAGTTTAAGCGAGCATCTTTGGACATCCACTGAAAACAGATGCTGATTTGCTCTATCGAATAACAAATCAAAGCTTGAATTAAAGCTCCGGCAAAATCTGGCAAACAAACTGCATTGTGGAGCAGTAAATATTTTTCACTATACTGATGATCAGTTTCTGAACTTATTATAGCTCAAAGAACTTCAGGAAGTCCAAACGGTCTGCAATATACAGTAAACATATAATATTATATAACTATATAAAAACTGATGAATATAACTAGATTCTCGATTTAAAATATACATTTTACATATATCGTCCTATTAGTGATATTTACCTATTTTGCGTACCTTATGGTGCCTGCAACGCAACAGATGCTTGCTTTCAATCATTATCCGGGATGCAGTTAAATGCAGGACCACTGCAGCTCTAATGCTAACTACGATATGGGTACGAATCTCGAAAATCGGTTTTGTCGCCTGGCTGTCCACTGTGCGCCCTCCTTCTCCCTCCACAGACCGTGACCGACATCTTAATTAATTCATTAATTGGTGTCTAATTAATTAATTACCCATTACAGACCGTGGCAGACAGGCTCTCGAAACCATCACAGGGGATGAGAAACGCAGTCTCGAGATTGTCACATGCTGTGATGGGACGACTTCAGGGTACTATCAGAGGTCATGTATAACTCAAGTCTAGTTAAAATATCTATGGAGTATCTCTTTGGTGAAGTTCTATGCTCTAGAGTAAGGAATAATGCGACAGCATACCCAGATATACATAAAAAAACGAGTTTTTAGGGAATCAGCAACAATGGGTATATCGTGTTTCACATTTTAATCCCACAGAGATTGCCCGGCACAGCTTTTATACTATTACTTTCGTCAGAGAACAAGGAAAACATTGTCTGGTTTGAACGATAACCACATCATCAATATGATGACCACAGAGCAGACAATATGAATAAAAGACATTAAAAAAAACAATAATATTTGTCATTAGAGAAAAAGTGCAGGAGGGCAGTATCAATGAAATATTGCCGTAAGAAAACTGGATGAAGTTTCATAGACCTTCAGCTTTAAATTGTCATCAAATCCATACAAAAGTCAAACATTTCTTCTCAGTAAAAAAAAAAGGCAAATTCATATTGTTGTTTGTAAATGATTAATTTATTAAATGACAGAAGAAAACTGGTTGTTGTGATAGAAAATCTTGTTGACTAAATATCTCCAACAAATGCCTAGTGATAAGAGTAGTGTTTATTCATTTGACTATGGATACATTACTGAAGTTTTCATTGTCACATAATAGATACTTCCATGTTAATGCACACTTTTATACTCAGTGCTAAAAGTTGAATGATTTCTCACATTTATTTTATAACTTTCTTTATGCAGTCGCACATTAAAACTTTTAAAGTTTCTCAAAAGCAAATAATAAAATAAAGGTTAACCAATATTTATTATATCATTTTTTCAAGAAATAAAAGATGCGTGAATACGAAGTATGAGATTGTTGAAATAATTTATTTATGAGTTGGGTGTGGGTGTAGATGTCATTTCTCTCTATACTCACACCCACACCCACGAAAAAAAATTGCAGAAAACTGCGTCTGAACCCGTTTTTTTTCAGTTCGCATGTTTTCTCTAGACTTTTAATGCAGTTTTTAAAACGCGTTAGAACGCGTTCGTTTTCAATAATAACACAAGCAAGCCGTTTGATAATGCATCCTTTTCGATAGGTTTTTTTTCTACTAAAATGAAGGTCT